CACCTAAGCAGCATCCGATTTTCTCACTGGGAGCCAAGTTCATTGCTAACAGGTGAGTCAGACAGAGTTCAGATACGGAGCAAACACTTAAGACTCCACTATACCCAGAGCCCCCCCAAACGGTTTTCTTCATGAGTTGTCACATTAATTGTAGTCATACTGCATCCTAACTTCACTTTGTGTTTTCAGACTTATTTTCTGTAAATGCTACTTCATGAATCCTCACTTCTCTCCCTCCCTTCTCTCTCTCTCTCTCTCTCTCTCTCACACACACACACACACACACACACATTTTTACATGATCTCACACTAACCAGATAACCTGTCAGAGTTTACCCTCCCTCTTGAAGTAACCCACAAAAGTGAGGTTACTTTTGTGGAATTTCCTGCCTAAAATTCTTTTATAGAGGCATTTCATCAAGAATGGCTTTCCACTGAAGTTCTGCTAACAGTCTTTCTTTTTGAAAAAAAATCACTGAACATATAGTAAATATCGACCTCTTAAATAAAAAATGGATACTCAATATAATTTTTGAATCATGAATAAAGTAGAGATCAGTTGGCAAACCATTTTCCAAATATTGTTTCTCAGAAAAACTGGTTTTCATCAGGCTTCCTAGGGAATGAGTTTCAAACTAGGGAGTTCTAACAGTTTTCATACAAGGCTGTGTTGTTTTCATGTTTGGGTGCACGAGGGGTCATTTACTGGCTGAAAACATCCCTGAATCTGAACATGTGCGATGCACTGAGTACTTCCTGAGCATGTTGGATGAGTTCTTTTAAAGAAAACAAATTTGTTGCAGCCCTGGAATAAAGGCTGCAAAGCAGGAAAGTTTTGCAAATCCTGATAAAGTCCAGGTTAGGAAGTGTGTAGTACTAGGCAGTGAGTGATTCAGGAAACATTGGACCAATTGAGCAGTTCTTGATCATTTTCTTTTTCCCTTTGTTGAATACTTTTTCCATGCAGAGAACTGTTGCTGTATCACATGCTAAATTGTATACAACAGCACATAGGTGCCTAATTCTCAGGCAGTAAGGCCCTTTAAGAATTAAAGTAAGGGAGCTGGGTGTGCTGGTGCTCGCCTATAATCCCAGCACTCGGGAGGCTGAGGTCAGAAGATTGCTGTGGGTTCTAGGCCAGCCTGGGTTACATAATGAGTTCAAGGCCATGCAGAACTACAAAGCATGGCCTTGTCTCAAAAGGAAAAAAAATAGGGTATAAGGAAAATTAATTTGCTCTGCACCTATTTGTAGATTCTAAATGGACCAGGTAATATCTGGAGAAAAGAGGAAATAATCATTTAAATGAAGATTACTGATGAATTTTGGCATTTACTAAAATAATTAGAAAAGCAAATATTTTCTCAACTTGTATAGTTAAAGTCTAGAATTTTTCACCAGTAGTTTAAATAGGTACAAGATGGAATTTTTGTGTGTGATAGATATTGAGATTTTGTATGTTATAGGTATTGGCTATTAGTAACTTTTAAGTGTGTGTGTGTTTATGTGCATGTGTGTTTATGTAATATAGGCAAGCTATACATATTAGAAATTTTTAAAAAGAGAAAAAGTTAAATATGTCTTACTATAAAATGAGTAAAATATCTATATTTTCCAATAGAGATATTAACATGTATTTGAAATTTGTCTCCTTAATGAAATTTGGATCATATTTTTGGTATCTTCCTGAAGAGAAATATACAAATGCCCAAATGGTTTAAAATGTAAAACATTTATATGCCCATATGCAAGAAATCGTAATAAGTTTCCAGTACATTTGTAAAGTTAGAGAAGGGTGGATTTTGAAGAGAAAAGGTAAATAAGAACCAAAAAAACCGGTGTTCTCTCAAGCCATTTTCAGAAAGGAGCATATATGGAGATGGAGAAAGTGAAGATCGATTTACCTAAGACTCTTTGTCCACATAGCCCTTTTTAAAGTCTTTCCAATTTGAATGCCATTGCATGGGGTGGGGGGTGGGGTAATGTACTGAAATGAATTCAATCCGGTTTTAGGCAAACAAAACCTAAGGAAAAATAAATAATTCTGAAAACACTGATGAGTTTACTTGATTTTCCAATCCCTGAATCAATTCTTTAGACCACTGGTTTTCAAATGTAGCTTTATTTTAAGATTTCCTGGGGATTCCCCACCCTACAAGGCATTCTGATAAATGTGTATGGGGTGCCCGAGCATTGGGCTATTCCAAAGATCATAGGAATTGCTATGTACAATAAGTTTGAGGCAAAATATTCTTTAGGAAATATGAGTTGTTGCAAGAAACATCAGCACTATGAAAGAAATCTGTGGTGAGAATATGTCAATGGTTTTAAGAATTTTTCTAAAAATTTCCAGACTTCCAAAAATGACTGAATAAATGGTTAGACTTTGGCTTGGTGATAACTTGAGCATTCTAGAGAATCTAATTACCATACACAAAAGACAATCAGTTTTTATAAATTCAGAGAAATTCATAAAACAAGCTACAAAGTTGTAAAGTCAGTGCACAATTACAGATATTGTATTATATCAGCATTTTAATATTTTCATGGGTGATTTTGTTTCTGAGATTTTTAAGTGTTTTGAACTTGAAATCCAAGATGTAGTTTGATGTACAAATCCACCATGAATTTTGTTTTTCTGCTATAATGTGATGTCTAAATATTCTACTTTACTTAGTCATTGCAAGGACCTACCATAGTTAATGCTCTCATTGATACCTTTTTATTCTAACAAGGATCCCCCTGTTTGGTTTGAACCTTAGAAGCTCCACAAACCTTAAAGTTATATAAAAGCAGTAATATTCAATATTCTATTATACACAAGGCCTTGGTTAATTAAAATTTATAATAAATTAAAAATAAACCTCTTCCTCTGACACTGCTTTTCAGAGAAGGTGGGCTAACTTACTTTTGTATTATATAGTAGCTTTATAATTATACTCAGTAAGGATTTGAATGATTTTGCAACCAGACTTAAAATAAAAAGATTGTGAGAAAAAGTTCAGGGAATCCTTAAAGTAAGTTGCAGAAGCCTTAATTCTGACTACCCTTTAATAAAATAGTCACTTACTGGAGAGGATAGAATTGCACGCTTAACTTTTTAAAATTCCTGAAGTGTGCTTTCACCTTGGCCATGTACATGGTTCATGGTACATGGTACATGGTACATAGTACATGGTGCATGGTGCATGGTTCATGGTACATGGTACAGAGTACATGATGCATGGGAACCTGGGGTATCTTCAGTGAGCTCCAGCTTTCCTGGTTTTCTTCTCCAAGCTTTCAACATTCAGGTAGACATTATAGAAAAATAGAGATGGAGGTAAGCCTTGTTCTTTCATGTTAGCAGTTAGAACTGAAGGAGTAAGACACTGCATTTTTGGTTCTACTTTATGGAAAAGAAACACAGAGCAAAAATAAAATTTAAATAGGCTAATATTGGCCTTAATGGACCTATTCTTTTTTCTTTTAATGGCTTTTTACACTATAAATGATTACAATTATTCTTCAAGTTGCATCAAAACAACTCTGACCTGTGTATGTTTTCATAAAACTCCTTAAAGTCAAAGAGGAATGGATCAGTACGGTGGAGAAGGAGAGGTATATAGGGAGATGTGTATGGTCAGAGTGAGGATTCATGTATAACTACCTCACAACCAGGCCCACAAATCTGTATAATTATGTGCACTAATAAAAAAGTGCAGCCAATTGTCAGGAGCAGTGCTACATAATTTTAGGAAAAAATCATTTTGTAGGCCTACTTCTCCTGCCTACAGCCCAGCCATGGCATTCCAAGACATAATTCCATTTTGATCTCCGGTCACAACTGAGACCTCAATGATCCGGTCATGCTGTCTGTGATTCTCCAGGACAAGATTACAGCAGCTGAAGACAGCCTGGGAGGAACAAAATCTTCATCTACTCAGTTCCTCATTTTTCTTGGATTGTTGCATCTTGTTTAGGCCGATTGTACTGAACTCTCTGTCCTGAGTCATTTGTTACATTTGTTTTCCCTGATATACTGAATAAAAGGTGTGGTAAGCTGGGGGCTTTCATCTTTGCTGCCCAGAGCAGCACTGATCAGACCCAAAGCTCAGCTTCTTCTCAGTCTCATTTTTCTACCTTTCCTGTAATTCTCCTTGTGCTGCCGTGGCTCACAGGAGACTAGGACTCACTGAAGAGGTTCTAGTGACGTCCCCTTTCCCTGTTCCCTACAGCAAACTAGGGTATATATTTCAGACATTTTAAGCCTTTCTAATATATCTACACATATTTAGGGGGAAAAATACCTGTCTATATGTAGTTTAGAATAATGTTTATTGATAGCCTACTTGATTTGTATTAACTCTTTGGACAATGAACTTCAAAACACTGAGAATTTTAAATTGGAAAAAATCATGCATTTTTAATTTCTCTGTGAAAAATTATATATTTTCCCCTCTTTCTTATTAATTTTCAATTAACTTTTATAGCATAATTTATTTATTTGATTAATAGAGATGGGGCTATAGAAAACTGAGCAGATCATGGAAGATACAAAATTATTTATGTTATCAATATATGAAATTATCTTGATATAGTTTCAATATATCTTATAGGAGGATGCACAAAATTATAAAGAAGGGAAATATAAATATGATTCTATATATTAGTAACTTTTTCATAATGCTGTATTCATTTCACATGGAGAAGACAGTGGCAATGTAACACTGAACTATTAAAGTTGCCTCAAATGATTTCATAATTTTTAACTTTTAATCCACAATTTCTTTCCTTATCTTCTAAAATCACAAAGTAACATAACTCATAAGACCATTTTGAGAGTAAACAGAATGGAGAATTGTCATTAGATAATCAAGGTGTTCATCTTATCTACAGGACAATGTGGTGCTAAGCAAGAAGAAAGCCATGATTGTCTTCCCTTGAGGCTGGAAGAACCCATGAGAAAGGTCACTGTTATTCTTTAAATGCAGAAAAATCTACAACATCTGCCAGAATAAATGGCTGGAATTAATGTCACGTATGTCACCGAATTCATCCTCAAGGGAATTACAGACCGGCCGGAGCTGCAGGTGCCCTGCTTTGTGGTGTTTCTAGTTATATACCTGGTCACAGTGCTGGGCAACCTGGGCTTGATCACCTTGATCAGGATCGATGCCCACCTCCACACACCTATGTACTACTTCCTCAGCCACCTGGCCTTTGTTGACCTTTGTTACTCCTCTGCCATTACTCCCAAGATGATGGTGAATTTTGTTGTGGATCGCAACACAATTCTCTTTTATGCGTGTGCAGCCCAGCTGGGCTGCTTTCTGACCTTCATGATCACCGAGTGCTTCCTTCTTGCCTCCATGGCCTATGACCGCTATGTTGCCATCTGCAGCCCCTTGCATTATTCAACACTAATGTCAAAAAGAGTCTGCATCCAACTGGTGGCGGTGCCCTACATATACAGCTTTCTGGTGGCGCTCTTCCACACCATCATCACCTTCCGTCTGACTTACTGTGGTCCCAATGTCATTAACCATTTCTATTGCGATGATCTCCCCCTCTTGGCTCTCTCCTGTTCAGACACACACATGAAGGAAATCCTTATTTTTGCCTTTGCTGGCTTTGATATGATCTGCTCCTCTTCCATTGTCCTGACCTCCTACCTCTTCATCATTGCTGCCATCCTGAGGATCCGCTCTACCCAAGGGAGATGGAAAGCCATTTCCACGTGTGGCTCCCACATGGTGGCTGTCACCATCTTTTATGGCACATTGATTTTCATGTACCTGCAGCCCAAGTCAAACCACTCTCTGGACACAGACAAAATGGCCTCGGTGTTTTACACGGTGGTGATTCCCATGCTGAACCCCATGATCTACAGTCTGAGGAACAAAGAGGTGAAAGAGGCCTCCAGGAAAACTTTGGATAAAAGTTGTGAAGCCTTAAAGTTATTAAAATTAAGAAAATAATAATATCCTGCTTTAATGAAACAAAAGAAGCAAAATAAATAAAAAAATTTATTGTAATTCTTCCTCAATCGACCAAAAATATAGCTGTTATTTAATAGACTTTAACATATTCTGGAAGGACCCAGGCACATTATGTATACATTGTGTTTAAATGCAGGCACAAACAGGCAAGCACACATATGTGTGTTCTGAGCAAAGGCGGGGGTGTGTTTATTTGAGCCCTGGATTCTGGAACAAGACAGTTGGAATTTGTTACTTCCTTTATTTATTACCCATGCAGCCTTATGCAGTGTACCTACATGCTTTGCAAATCTGCTTCTAATACTGGGAAATAATATGATCAAATCCATTAGTTTATCTTGAGGATTACATGGCTTAGCATTTATAAAGCACTTAGAACTGTATCAGGTGTTTATAAGTGCTTTGTAAGCTTGGTAATAAGATATTTGCTACATAAAGTCAAATACTAGTAATTAAGTGAGAGAGACAAAACCTGGTTGGGTTTTGTAGTATCTGTCAGGCCTTGATCAAAGACTGCTACTAATTACAATCAAACAAACCTAAGGGATGAGTGAGGTTCTACCTATGGGTCCCCATTACTTATAAATCGCCCAGGGGCACACAATTAATAATATGAAAAATTTAAATGCAAATTCAAGTCTCTCTAAGTATTGTTTTCTTAAAAGAGTGGGTGTTAAGAATGAAGAGAATTAGATTAATTATATTAAAATCAGGCATTTAAGTGTAAGTGGAAGAATATGGCTTACAGCAAATTGTGTTAAAACGTACAGGGTGGATGTATTTGAGTATTTGTTTAATTACATGTAACCTCATCATATTATGTCATTTATCTTTCCATGCTATTCATTCAGACACCCTTGTATATCATGACTTGTAATTAAAAATTGATGATGTAGTATACTTTTATTATTTATTTTTTATTATGGGTTTTCAGAAAAATATTAAACTAGTATTTTACCATTGTCCTGTTATCTTTACATTTTATAAGATTACGATAACTTCTGGCATTGGAAAGAGTAGTTTGGGGATTCAACATAGGGTGATTACTTCTTATTTGCCCCTAATTAGTAGGTTACTCACATCAGCTGCTGTGATGTGCTTTTAGAATTTGGGGATTGAATAAAATCTCTGGTTTTTAAAGCAAGATTAACAGGGCAGCCAGCTCTCTGTTTTCTACACTGTGTAGAGAGTATATGTGTATATGTATAGATACACATAACAGTGTCTCATATCACAGTGGTGACAAATAGAAATGTCTAAGCCAGCTACTTTTTTACGGGTAATGAAATCTAGGCTTATAACATCTGGATGACTCAGTTGCAAAACACTGTTTTAAAATTGTAATTCTTTTCTCCCTTTTTATTAGCATATGTTTGTGATACATAATAAATACGTTCATCATCATGGGAACTTGGTACATCTACGATAGCATCTTGACTCTTTTCCCTGCTTCTCCCCCCTCTTCCCATCTACTCCTCCCCCAGGAACATTGGTTTTTATGGTGGATTCACTGCACCTCTATGCTTCAGAGGATTGTTTATGACAATGATGCTTAAATACTAAGTGGTGTTTCTATATCTGAATGTAAAACAGAGGATGACAAAAAACAAAACAAAAAAAGTTTTATTAAGGTCTAAGACTGTAAAAAGCTTGCCTGATTTGAGAAATGTGCAGCCCAAATTTGAGTTTTTCACTCTTCATTTTGTGATTCGTAAAGCTCAACTAAATAAAAAATGAGTCAAATGCTCACTCACTGCATAAGTTACAGAATGAGCTTTTAGATAACAACAATGTTCAAATGCCTTGACAGAATGATTAAAGCCTAATAGAGAATATGAAAGATCAGCAGTATTATCATGAATGACATGAAGCAATGCTTGGAGTATTTTCTTGTAAATGAGGTTTCTTTTATAGCTATGATCAAATCACTTGCTTGTAAAACTGTTAGTTATCTAACTTAAATAAAATTATAAGCAAATGTCTTTGAATTCTGGTACTGAAAAGTTTTTTTTTTTTTTGGTACCAGGGATCGAACTTGGGTCCTTGCACTTGTGCAGCTGGTGGTGAAACCACTGAGCTAAATCCCCAGCCCAAAAGTTTTATTCTTTGTCTTAAAAGCTCTGTGTTCTAGCTGATTTTCAGCTTCTGAGTGAATTACAGGGTCCTAAAAGGAATAGAATCCTCACTGCACATTTTCTAAAATGTTGTACTTCAATTTTAAAAAAATCACCAACTCAAAATTTCTGCAGTGATGTCAGAAACAGAAACAAAACAAATAAATAATGACATTTATTGAATATTTGCTATTTTTGTCTTATTCTCAATACTAAGCATATATCAGTTCGTGTGCTTCTCTTAACCACACTCCATGCCAAGCACACTGACTGTTTATAACTTTGTAGATGTAAAAAGTAAAAGCCAAAGAAGACAAATAACTTGACTTTAACCCATTTTATCCTACAAACATTAATTATTTAAAAGAATTTGAAAATACACTTCATTGCAAAATCATTTGTTTTAGAGCCACGAGATTTTTAGGAATACATTTGAAACATAAATACCCTGATGAACTTGTAGGTTTTGTGTGCTTGCCTGTAATTCTTTCATAGTCCCTTGAACATATTTCTGAAGCTTTAGCTTGCTAGCATACATCTATGCTGTATATTATAACTCCTTGGAAGTAATATTATAATGTATGAAGAAGAACAGCTGTGATTATGTATTTATAGAAGACATAGGTTTTCCTCCTGTGCTTGTTGGAACTTGATTTATCTATGAGTGACTTCAGAGTCAAATTTCTGACCACACAAGGATACAGGACTGGCAGCAAGTTCAAGGCTGCCAAATGGCTGCAGGATCAGGCGTGGTATAGGGCTGCTCATTCTTCAGCATCAAGGCTGCTCCGCTGGTCCTCTCATTCAGGAGATGATTGCAGGAGAAGTCGAACCTGAGGAAATATCCAGTGATGTTGTACAAAGCACACACTTGTATTAAGCTTCCATATGTTTGTAAATTGTTGATGCATAAAATTTGGAACATAAGACACAAGATATAAATTTATTTTAAAATAATGCATATTTTATATCACCCAGAGTTCAGTACAGCCCTTATTTCCCCATACCCTTTCTTATATTCTTGAACATGTTGTGTAAAAGAGGATTAGAATTGATCTGTCTCTCTTCATCTCCACTTCCTTTTTTCTTCTAAAATTCAGTAGCTCCATAGTTATAAAATGCCTGTCAGGGGGAAATCCTGAGAATGAGACCTCACAGGTGGCTCAGTGCACATGAGCCCAATGATCCGAGTGGAGAGCACAACTCTGCCCTTCCCAGCACTGCAAGTCCTCACAAGACAAAGCCCAAAGTCCACTCATCACTGCTCAGGGACTCTTTCATTATTTGATAGCCAAACACAACTTTTCTATAATTTTCTTCACAGCATTTTTTACCTCCTGATTCCTTAAACTATAGATCAATGGGTTTAACATGGGAATCACTACCACATAGAACATGGAAGCAAATTTATCTGTGTGCAGAGAATGGCTTGACTTAGGCTGGAGGTACATAAAAATAACAGTCCCATAAAATATTGAGATGGAGGTCAGGTGAGACGTACAGGTAGAAAACACTTTCTGTCTTCCTTCTGCAGACTGAATCCTCAGGATGGCAAAGAGGATGAAGGCATAAGAAATGAGCACAATCACTAGAGAGCAAAGGGTATTGAACCCTGCGATGATTAGCAACAATAACTCTTTGATGTGAGTGTCAGAACAAGCCAGAGCAATTAAGGGGACATCATCGCAGTAGAAGTGGTTGATCATGTTGGAGCCACAAAAGGACAACTGGAATGTTGACACTGCTTGGACCAGACCCACAGAGACCCCATAAATGTAGGTGCCAGCAATCATTTGAATGCAGAGTTTCCTAGGCATGAGAATGACATAAAGTAGAGGGCTGCAGATGGCCACGTAGCGATCGTAGGCCATGATGGACAGCAGGTACAATTCAGAAACTACAAACATGACAAAGCAGCACAACTGAACAGCACATGCATAAAATGTTATACTTTTAACTTCCTGCCAAAAATTTATAAGCATATTTGGGGTGACAGAGGAGGTAAAACAAAAGTCAATGAAAGCCAGATGGCTGAGGAAGAAATACATGGGTGTGTGCAACTGAGGACTGACTTGGATCAGCACAATCAGTCCAAGATTACCCATGACACTGACTAAGTAGACTACTAGGAATACACCAAAGAGAATGACCTGCAGCTCTGCATCATCTGTGAGTCCGAAGAGGATAAATCTAGACACTGCTGAGTGATTGCCTTCAGCCATGGAAGAGGCATAAAGTTTTCTATAATAAAGTCTTTGGAGAACACGTTCTGAGTAGTTGTCGTCCTGTGGGCAATAATCTTGACATAGGAGATGGCTCTGATTCACTGATATATGCTGAATTTAGGCAATTTCTTCACCTTGTGTTTAATTTTCCAAGTGATTTATCCTAGACAGAAATTCCAAAGTGTGCAATCCTGTAGGATTTTGTAAAAATAGAAAATAGTGTTTTAACTTTTGTCTCATTGTATAATTTATGGCATACCTTTATTTTATAAAAGAAAAAAGATACTGAGAATTATTTAAACATAGATTTAAAAGGAATTTCTTATTGAAATATTTTAACCAGTGCTGGAATTTATCTCAGTGGTTCCACTGCCTGCCTGGAAAGCACAAAGTCTCGAGTTTGATCCCTGGTACCAAAAAAGTGAGAAATATTTTAACCAAAATTATACGTTTTAGAAAATTTTAATTACCAGAAAAATAAATTTAAAAAATTGACTACAGAGGACCTAACATGAAAGATCCTAAACAAAGTTATAGATAATTATGATCTCTATGCCATATATTCAGGCTAATTTTTAATTGTCTTATTGTTCTTTTGAGTATCAATGATGTCTATTTCTTCTTATTTCTTGTAGTATTTGTGAATAAAGTATGGGAAAGACACTTAAATTGTGAATAATTTTTCTTTAAAAAATATGGATAGCAGGATTAAACATGCATCAAGTGAACTAAAAACCACATTTATCAAGAATCATCAAATATCCCAATGCAAAGCAGGTGAAAAATTTATTTTAGGATGAGATTGGAGAAGTGCAAACTGGTTCCTAACTTATTACAAGAAGGAAGTTTTTGATAATCATCCTTAGTACATATGAGGAACATTTGATATTTTTATTATACTACATAACCTGGCCTAATTTCTCTATCAAGTCTCTAAATTGTCAATATGGCTACCACCTTAATTCTCAGACATGGAAGCTGGACTGTTTACACCCCATTCATGTTGTGTAGCTAGCAATATGCACAACTGAGTAACTCATATATGTTCATTCTGTAATCTCAAGTCATATTTCGTGCAATTGATTATCTTTCAGAGAAGCAGCCATTTACTAATCAACCAGGGATCAAGACAAATTTGGAAAGGGAATCTATTAGTTTATCTAGATCAAGCACATAAAGCAGTGACTATCTCATACTATACGCCAAATAAATTAAATGCAGCTCTTGAGATACTATTATTGCATGAGTTGAAGTTTACTTCATAGAAGTCTCCCTGCAATCCCCTCATAAGCATCTGAAATGGGCTCCAGTTGCCTCCCTGGGATCAGAGATTAGAATATTTGATCCTTGTAGCTCCTCATTCTTTTTAGTACTTTCATTGATGTTCTGGAAACTCTGTGTGTTTTTGTCTGTGATATCACCAAACTCTCCGCTATCTTCAGGCCTTTGATTCTTCTTTTCTTAAATGAACACAAGCTCCTCCTTGAATCCCTACATCTATTCAGAATGCTTCTCACTCAATGTGAGATTCTCCACGTGTTTCAACTTTGGCAGGAAAGACAAGGCATCGCTGATGCTTATAGCATTGTTACACATCTAATCTTAACTTTTGTGCTTGTGTGAAATCCTCTGATGCCTTGAGCTTTAGACACCTACCTACGTTGTCACTTACATATTTCCAAGTCAATTACAGCTCCACAGAGTTGTCAGTTCCTATGCATAACATGCACTTCATCTGCACTCTCTCAGGTTCGTGAAAATTTGGCATTGACCATTATACATATATGAGTTTCCCACTCATGTGCCTCCATCTTGTAATTGTTTCATCTGGAAATTGATCACATACTAAGTATCCAAAATGGAAGCAATAACTTATCCTGCCTTTTCCTTTTTACCTGTTATGACTCCATAACTTTTAATTAATTAATTTATATTCATTTTTTAAAACTTCACTACTTACTTCTTACCTAAATTGTTACCTCCCATATTCAATACAGGTCACAATTTATTGTTACAATTACCTGTTCCAACATACAAAATTTTTGTGCTCTAGTTCCTTCAGGATATAATAAATTATGGGCATTTTTGAAATGTTCTTCTCTTGGCCTTTGTACCTGAGCTACCAAGAATACCATGCAGAAAACTGAGCTAATACAAATTAATCACTTTGAAAATCCAGCAGTCATTTATGTGACTTGCTTTTTCTTGACCCAAGCATCTGTCTCCCAGTCTATGTGTAACGATTTCCAACCCTAAGATTTCCTTCTTAACTCCCCATGCCAACCCTGCCATTTGCACTGAGCAGATGTCACTGTGTTCGACATTAGATGGAGAAAACATTTTTCAACTTCTCTCACCAGGTGCAGAAATGTACTGTCTTCCACAGAAACCTTTTCCATATTGGGGAAGAATGAGCATAAAGGTTCCTCATTTTCTATATCTGAGCATGTATTTATCCTGTACTCTTATTTCTCCTTCTCTTCTTATGCTGCTCAGTTCAATCGTTCCCATCAACCTAAAACAGACAGATATCTACAAAGAGTCACCAGTGACTTCTGACTTCTGATCAATCACCATTGCCCACTACCTCTCATCCCTTAATCCCTCCGTATCAGGAATCTGGGAAGAGTCACCAATGCTCACCGTGTTCTATGCATTTATATCTTAAACTGTTGTATTCTGATGCTTGTTCTCATTGCAATGCAATTACTCTCTCCATGTTCACCAATATCCTCCCTCCTCCCTCTCAAATCCAGTGCTGATTTCTTATTTGAGTTTTCTGAAGTGATGATCCACTGACAGTTGCCTGCCATTGTAGGACATTACATTTTTGGTTTGTAAGTTGCCAAACTCTCTGGCTCTTCCCAGTTTTCTACCCACTTTTATTTTCCTGAAGCACTTTTCTTCCCTTGTTTCTGTTTGAGCTAAAATTTTCCCTTACGAGTGTTTATGCCAGCTCATGTCATTTTTGCTCATTCTGTGGGGAGCTGCCATCTAAGGATATGGAAACAATTGTCATTTGTACACGGATGATACCAAAGTATAGATTAGTACACCGGATTTCTCTTCTGAAGACCAAGCAAACATATCTAATTCTTCCCAAGCATCACCAAACATAAATTCCATAGGTACCTATACTTAATATTCTAAAGATAATTTATACATTAAAAAACCATATTCCAGTCATATGCATCAGAGTGCACAACCCCCCCCCACAAACATACACACACAACTTGTATATTTAACTCAGTGAATGGTGCCATCTTTCATCTAGTTATCTAGGTGAGGAAAAAAAGAACATATTTCATATAGTCTACTAACTTTCAGCATGAACAATTATCAAACATTGCTAATAATTTATCCTATTTTTCAAATATGTCTACATCTTGTGCCTTCTATATTTTATATATTTAAGCCCCAAATCCAAACTCTACATCAGTGCTTTCTAATTGCTAGACCATCTTCTAGTTTCATCACCTTCTCCATATATGTATCAGGTACTTTTAGTACATCTTCCAGTATGCAAATTATAGCTTTTGGTTTTCCATTAAACTTGGAATTGAGTTCTAAATTTTTAACATAATTAATTAAAATTCTGATAAACCCAAGTAGACTAATCTTCTCCTAACAATAATTTAATATAATAAACACCTATATCTAGCAGATTCAGAAATTAGTAGACACAGTAAATATATTATAGAAATAATTGAAAAATTAAATACAAGGATTGTGCATTCCAAGCCCTTACTACTTCAGTTACCTTGAATATGTTTTTTATCTCATTACAGATTGGTTGAGTAACTGAAAAGAAAAACATAAGGAAGCCAATATACCTTGAGGCAAATCATAAATGCCAACAATGATAATGTAATGTTTCATTGCTTAGGGACTGTGTGATTATTTTGTATGATTTTTTGGTCCTTCTGGAATATTTTCATGAATTATATCATGTTAAAGAACTGTTGATCCAAAAATATAACAAAGTTTTACTCACATAAGCAATTATGTTGTAGATGATCCTTTGGGACCCTATTTGCTAGACAGATAAAGATACACACTAGATTGGCAGACCACTAAACTGAACTTAAGTGCAGCAAGGAATTAAATGACAGTCAAAACTGTGTGACAATATGAGAAATAAAACACATAATATTAATTTTATGTGTATTTGATACACATAAAATTTGTACATTATTTAAGAGATCATGATACTAAGTGGATTAAAATAAATTAACTCACTGATTAGTTGTTCAAGGCTACCAATGAATGATTTTCATTGCATTAAGCACCCAACTCTATATTTGCTATTTATATCCAGCTCTATGACCTTGGGATATATTTGAAGGATTTAAATTAGTATACTGTAGGAGTACCTACATAGCTGTGTTTATTGCTGTATGAAATGCAATAGCCAAGAAATTGAACCAGGGTAGGTATCTATAAACAGATAAGAAGATGAAGAAAATGTGGTGTATATACACATCCTGGAGTATAACTCAGCCTTTAAAAAACCAAAATTTTGTCATTTACAGAAAAAATGATAGAACTAGAAGTTTTCATTTTGAGCAAAATAAGATTGACTTGGAAAAATATCACATGTACTCTCTAATATATGGAATATAAAAAGATGACAAGAAATTAAAAGAGAGACTTACTAGACAAGAGAAAGACAATAAGATGGGAGACATGTGTAACAAGAGGAATAAATATTATCAAAATACACCAAACACATTGAAATCCCCCAAAAATGTAAAACTAAGGGGTGGATGGAAAAATCAGATGATAGAATGCTTGAAGTGTGTTACATACATGTTTTAACCTCCTAAGTGAAGTCCATTAATCTGTGTAGCAAATGTGCATTAATAAAAATGTAGAAAATAATTAGAGAGTCCATGAAACCCTGTTCAAGAAAAGCTTCCCAGGAAATTGGTTCCCTGGGAATCATTTCACTGAACTGAGGCACTCAGAGGAAGCTGCAGCTGTATTTCAAGGGGTCC